CTGTTTTCTGTGCAGTTTTGTAGTTTCCTCTTTGTGTTGCTGTTTTCTGTGCAGTTTTGTAGTTTCCTCTTTGTGTTGCTGTTTTCTGTGCAGTTTTGTAGTTTCCTCTTTGTGTTGCTGTTTTCTGTGCAGTTTTGTAGTGTCCTCTTTGTGTTGGTGTTTTCTGTGCAGTTTTGTAGTTTCCTCTTTGTGTTGGTGTTTTCTGTGCAGTTTTGTAGTTTCCTCTTTGTGTTGGTGTTTTCTGTGCAGGCATTCGGTCCAGAACAGGCTGCATGTGATGTCAGGACCTCACATGTTGTTACAAAACGGAGGCTGACAGCCGTTGGATTTGCTTTATTTTTTTAGTTTTAAAAACTGATTTTGGGACATTTTAAATCAGTTCTGAATCTTTGTAAATGAGAATCATGATTCTGGCATGTATTGATTTTTTGGTCCACTCCTACTGGTTACACAAAAATCAAACAAAAGAAACCATACACACCAGTTCAAACACGTTACAGAACTGTTTAAATGCAACGACACTGATGGACAGAATCATGTTGTCTTTTTTTCAGAACTCCTGAAATAATTCCAGTGAAATCAGACCTGACCAGAGCGCCACAAACGGTTCTTTTAATAAYCGATTAATGGTGGCAGCCCTGGACCTGACATGTTGAGTTCAGACAGGAGCTGAACCRGGCTGCAGGAGCAGAAAACTAAAGTTTACTTCACAGTTTATGGCTGCTGTAACAAAACRAGTTTAAGGATAAACTGATAAAACTGAAGTTATTCSTTCCAGAGCAGAGTCATGCATTGACAACATTTACATTTGGTTTAGACTACTATTCTGTCTGTTACAAAAAAAAAAACAGAAATATTTTGTAATTATTGTTAATAATATTTAACATGTGAAGAAGGAATAAAGGTTTGGTCGGACTCTGCTGGTAGAGCAGCAGGTGCAGTTATAAATAAAGTTAAATACTGCTGTGACCTGGGTAATAAGATGTACACTGAGTTGTACAGATCCAGTGTTAGAGGACAGAGCAGGAGGTTCTGTTGACGTCCTTACAGTGTTCAGGGTTCAGTCCTGTTTATTTCACAGATAAACTCTTCAACTGGCCCTGTATGGACGTACAGGTATATTTCCATGTCAGATTATAGACTAAAACATTTTTATTGGGATTTGTCAAACAGGTAGGTATACCTGGGCCAGACAAATGAAGAAAGTATTTGAGGCTGATTTTCAGTATATTTATAGAAACAAGTTAAGATATAATATTAAACAGATTAAACAGTTTTATTTTGAAGTTTATAAGTGTAAACGGGCAGCTGATATCTTACATGAACATAAATTACAAACTTATATTGTAATAAAGGATTTTATGGTCCTGAGTTCTATGTAATTTATATAAAAACTAATAAACCAAGGTCTGTCTGTGCACATCTGGTGTTTTTAGTTTAGAACATCTGCTCCCAGTTTAACAGCTGTTTTCAGATCCTAACAGAACCAGACTGGACCGGTCTCTGTTTCATGTGTGAAACCTTCAGGGATGATCTGAGCAGAAGCTGACAGGACGAGCTTCAAACCATGACATTAACTCACAACTGTGTTTCAACAGAAAATTAAATAAAACACAAGTTTTACTGAGTGGACCGGACTAAATCTGTCCTGCTCACAGTGAAAACCAAGCACAGCACAGCAGAGGAGAGAGACCAGGCCTTACTTCAGGTCTCTGTTCACGGCCTGTAAGTTGTCCTGGAACTCGGAGATAAACTGCTTCTCTCGGCTCTCCAGAGTCTCCCGGTTCTTCATGCCGTCCTTCAGGGACTCGAACACCCGGCTCACGCTGGACCGCAGAGCCTGGATCCCGCTGATGGCATGAGAGAAGGCGTCCAGATTCACCCCGACCGTCACAACATCCGCCATCTTCTCCGCGTCTGGCTGATGACGTCACTGAGTCGCGACATCCCGCCCCACGGGGGAGGGGGGGGGGACAAAACAAAACAAAACCCTGTAAGGGGACCTCTTATGGAAAAAACACCTTTTTACGTGGTGTTATGGCTCAATTTGGCTCTGTACTGCTTCCAGAAACAGTCCAAGTGCCAATAAATAAATAAATAAACAAACAAACAAACAAACAAACAAACAAACAAATAAATAAATAAATAAATAAATAAATAAATAAATAAATAAAAAATAAATA